TAACCATTTTGAGAACGATTGTTGGAGAAAGTCTGAAAAGTGTTTGGTTTGTGGTAGTACCGAGTACCAACTCACAACTTGTCCAAAAAAGCTGAAGGTGGGAGGTAGCACCCAAAGATCCAAAAAGTCAACCTCTAAACAGATTAGTGCTGGAAGAAACCGACCAAAGATACCTGCTAGGGTTTATGCACTGGACCATTAACGGATACCCGATGCGACTGAGGTTGTTGAAGGTACGATTCCTATTTGTCACCGCTTAGTTAGGGTTTTAATTGATCCGGGTGCGACACATTCCTTTGTAAACCCTAATTTCATGGGCGGAATAGACTTGAAACTAATTAAGTTACCTTATGACTTGGAGGTTAGGACACCTACTGGGAATCAAAGTCTAATCGCTAACTTGGTATATAGGGATTGTGAGATCTAAATTGGAGAATGGAAATTAATGGCCAATCTGATAGGTTTAGCGATTAAGGGGTATGATGTGATCCTACAAATGGACTGGTTAGCCCGTTACAATGCTAAATTGAACTGTAAGATGAAAATAGTAGAATTGTGCGTTCCGAGAGAGGCAACCCTGAAGTGGATGTAAGAGCTAGGTTAGTTTCGTCTACACTTATCTCAGGAATCCGAGTTAGAAAAATGTTAAGTAAGGAAACTCAGGGATATTTGACTTTTCTAATCAACACTCCTAGTGATAAAGTGAGATTAGAGGACATGCCTATAGTGAAAGAGTACTCAGATGTCTTTCCTGAAGAGTTAGAGTCTTTATCCCCGGAAAGAGAAATAGTTTTTAAGATTGATGTGACTCCGGGAGTAGCACATATCTCTAAGACGCCATATCAAATGGCTCCAGTTGAGTTGAAAGAATTGAATTTACAATTGTAGGACTTGTTGGAACAGGGTTTTATAAAAGAGAGTGACTCACCGTGGGGAGTCCCGGTCTTATTTGTTAAGAAGAAAGACGGGAGTTTAACGTTGTGTATAGATTATCGAGACTTGAATGATGTCACCGTTAAGAATAAGTATCCATTACCCCACATTGATGAATTATTTGATCAATTGCAAGGGGCAGTGGTATTCTCGAAGTTGGATTTGAGACAGGGTTATTATCAATTGAGGATTTTGGAGAAAGATATACTGATGTGAACCCCCGATCTAGACAACCAAAACACCATGGCTTAGGCAGCGGAAATTTGACCCAACTAATCCTTAGAAGTCACGAACAATTTTGATATTATCTCAACCCGTCACTACTCGAATTAACGATCCAAATTGGAGGTAGTAGAACGCCACAATCAAGGAGATACTCGATTGATAAGTTCAGGTGAATAACTTGAGAAGATTCTCAAGTATTCAAAGGAAGCTCTCTTGCCAAAAAAAAGTGAAAACTCACTAATCGTATTTAATAGCCAAAAAAATTGATCTGAAACAAAGAGGAAGTGGGGCTATTTATAGCCCTTACAAGCATTAACCCTAATCCAAAAGTTGACCAAACTACCCTACATACTTAAGAAAGATTTTGGGCCTTACTTACTAACAAATGGGCCGCAATTAAACTAGCTTAATTACCTAGACTTTCTAAAGCGAGAAATAACCAAAATCTATGAGAAAAATCAAATAATCCTACTAAACTCAAGCATTCGTGCAATCAACTAGTCTTCACTTGAATCTTCCAATTCCCCATGTGCTTGAATGGGGCTTGGTCTTTATATTCTCATCATATACCCAAGACTGCTTTTAACTCGAGGTATGGACACTTTGAATTTGCAGTAATGCCATTTGGACTAACCAATGCACTTGCGGCATTTATGGATTTGATGCACAGGGTCTTTAAGCCTTATCTGGACCAATTTGTGGTGATTTTTATTAATGATATTTTGGTATACTCTAAGAATGTGAAGGATCATGAGAAACACCTGAGAATTATTTTGCAAACCCTGAGGGAACACCAATTATATGTTAAATTTAGCAAGTGTGAGTTTTGGTTGAAAGAAATGACATTCTTGGGTTATATAATTTCTAAGGATGGGATAAAACTGGATCCACCCAAAATTGAAGCTGTTTCAAAGTGAAAACGACAGGAAAACCCTACAGAGGTTCGAAGTTTTATAGGGTAAGCAGGATATTACCGGAGATTCATTAAGAATTTTTCTAGAATTGCTGAACCCATGACTGAGTTGACCAAGAAAAGCGGGAAGTTTATATGGAGTTCTAAGTGTGAAGAGAGTTTCCAAAAGTTACAGAGACATTTAACAAGAGCGCCTGTGTTAGATCTACCGAATGGAAAAGATAGTTTTGTGGTCTACACAGATGCTTCCAAGGAAGGTTTGGGATGTGTATTAATGCAAAATGATAAAGTGACAGCACATGCTTCTAGAAAGTTGAAACCGCATGAAAGAAACTACCCAACTCATGATTTAAAGTTAGCGGCTGTGGTGTTCGATTTAAAGAAATGGAGGCATTACCTGTACGAAGTAACATTTGAGATTTTTACTGATCATAAAAGTCTTAAGTATTTATTTTCTCAAAAAGACCTGAATTTGAGACAATGTAGGTGGATGAAATTTTTGGAAGATTATGATTGCACGATAAAGTACCAACCAGGGAAAACCAATGTAGTGCCCGATACTTTAAGTCGTCAAGTGCAAGTGGCCGGATTGATGATTAAGGAATTACACTTGTTAGAAGAAGTTAGTTATTGGAATTCTAGACTTGAATCGAGAAAAGTAATTCTTGAAAATATTGTAGTGAATTTCACTTTGTTAGGACATATTAACGAGACTCAGGAAAGGACCCTGAAGTGCAAAGGTGGGTTGAGAAAGTCAAAAAGGGAGAAAAGTCGGATTTTAATTTGAGGACGAATGTTATATTGAGATTTCGGAATCGGATAGTAGTGCCAAAGGATGAAGGGCTTAAAAAGAAAATTTTAGAAGAGGCACACCGATCGAAGTTCATGGTACACCCAGGAGGGAATAAAATGTACCAAAACATGAAGAGTCTGTATTGGTGGGAGAGCATGAAGAAGGAGATTGTCCAATATGTCCAAACCTGTTTAGTTTGTCAACAGGTTAAAACTGAACATCAGAAACCATCAAGACTTCTACAACCTTTGGAGATACGTGAGTGAAAATGGAAAAATATCACCATGAATTTTGTATCAGGGTTACCGAGAACACAAAGAGGTCATGATGCCATTTGGGTAATAGCAGATATATTGACCAAATCGGCTCATTTTCTGCCAATTAATATGAAGTACCCATTGGAGAAATTGGCTAAGTTGTATTTGGATGAAATTATCAGGTTACATGGGATACCTGTAAGTATTGTGTCCGATAGAGATCCAAGATTTGTTTCAAGATTTTGGCAAAAGATGCAAGAAGTATTGGGAACTAGATTGAACTTCAGTACTACTGTAAGGATCGAAGACAACCTAAGAGGAGGGGTGAATTAGGTTTTCAAAAACCTGCTAAGATATAGGCCACTTTTTCACAGTTTACCTTTCTTTTCTCAAAGACCACCCAATGAACAAGATAACACAAGAGCACAAGTATTCGTGGGATGAAGAGAGGAACAGTTTATGTAGAACAGCAGTAAATGAAAGTAAAGAAACAAACCAGGCTTCAAACACAACTGAGGTTTGAACACCACTTTTATAGACCAAGTTACTTCAAGTTGAACAAACTTGCAACCAATCTCTTGTGTACAAGGAAGGGATCACTTCCTTCTTGCCCCAAACCACACTTGGTCAAGCAAGGAAGTTTTACAAATACTCGCAAACCCTCACTATGCTACACTATTGAAGAAGCTATGTCACACTTGAAAAACTACACGAAGATTGCACACGCAAAGAGTACAAATGTTCCTTTTGAGTATTTTAACACTTGAATCACTCACAATCTGATGTAGGCTTGATGTGCAAAGTTATCTTGAAGTGGTTGACTTTGTTCTTCTTATAGGAGGCCTGAAAGTTCTTCAATTAATGCTGTCAACGGGTAGAAGACAACTGAAGAGTCAACTAGCCGTTGGTGCTGTCGGACGTCCGATGTTTGGTTTTTATGTGTCCGAGGGTAGGATGCATACTTGGACTTTCTTCTTCAATTCCTTCGGACGGCCGATACGTCCGGAGTGACTCGTCCGAAGAGCAGCAATACTTGTCGGACGTCCAATACACAGGTGTTGAGCGTCCGATCATGATCAGTAGTCAAATAACTCCTGGGATGTCTTCTTCGGATGTCCGAGTCTGAGTTCTTCACTCGTCCGAAAAAACTCAAAGAATGTCGGACGTCCGATACTCTCCTTTTGTGCGTCCGACATCATCCTCAGCAGTTTTCATTCTTTTTGATCTTCTTTTTCTGCTTTAAATCCACAGACCTGTTTGGTTCATTTCTGAAAAGGATCTCTACAAAAGGTATTAGAAACATCCATTTGTTTTGTAATCATCAAAAGATATGAGTTGAGATAAACAATCTCCCCCTTTTTGATGATGACAAAACAATTGGATAGAGCAAAATATAACAGCTCCCCCTAACGAAGTGCATGAGCAGTATACAGGAAGAAACGCAGTCCACATCATCAGTGCTGATCCAACTCAACTCCCCCAGAGACTGACTCCCCCTAACTAGTTACTCTACACCATCAGTGTTAAACCAAATCTAATTCCAATTCTCCCCCTTTTTGTCATCACAAGATTTAATATCAGTTTTGGTACCAGCAATGCATCCCATCAGAAACAATATCAGTATACGCATTTACAATGTACAACACAGTTTGGAGTCAATCATTTAGCAGATATCAATCAGAAACATTCATTCAATCAGCAGGTTGCACAAACACATAACCAATCATAACACCCATTCAAAACATTCATAACAAAATACTTAGTTATAACATTCATAAACAGTAAAAAAATATCCAGTTGTACAGACCAGGTGTTCAGCACTTAATACAAAAGTGCAATGCAAAAGATGAACTATAGTCCTAGATAAAGGTGCAGTGACCTAGTAGTGCCTAGATGGTGATTTTAGATAATCCAGGCCTTCTCCTGGCCAGACGATACTGTCAGGATCCTCTTCTTCCTCAGTTTCTTCATCACTATCTTCATCTGATTCCTCAGTTGCTGGAGCCTTGCCTTTATCCTTGGGCTGAGAACTGGAAGCTGGTGTAGTCTCAGTACTAGTAGTTGGTCCTGTGGGCTCAGTTCTAGGCTCATTTACATTGCTCTCAGGTACTGGAGGGACAAGAAGGTTTCTTTTTTCAATGAAGGAGGATTTTTGGTCAGAGGTCATGGTCATCACGAGACCTTCTTCAATAAGCAAGACATGTTGTTTGAGGTCTTCAAGTAAGGAAATGACTTCAGAATTGGATGCAAAGGACCTGCTAGCAGACTTCCTAGGATGAATGGTGAAAGGAGAGACAAAGCCTGACTGATCACGAGGAGTCCTAGGAGTGACAGGGATTTCATGAAAATTTTTCCTTCTAGACTCAGCAACAGTCTCCTTATAGCACCAATGGCCTTCAAGAAATTTTAAGTTCTTTCGTTCAAAGTAAGCTTTTGAGAAAACTGATGAAGCACTGTCTTTGGGAGATTTTTCAGAAAAAGAAATTTCAAAATGGGCAAAGATAGGGGTCAGAAATCTGCCATAAGAGAGCTTTCTACGGCTGTCAGTGCTAATTTTGAGCAAAAACTTGAACATTACAAATCCAAAGTCAATGCGAATTTTTTCAACAAAGCAGTAGAACAGATAGAGTTCCATTTTATTTGCATCTGTTCTGTGGCCATCAGTTGGCACCAACAGATTTGAAATGATGGTGAAAATGATCAGGTTCTGAGGACTAAGATCATCCAATCTTGCCTCAGCAGGAGTATTGAATGTGGTTTGAAAATAGGTCATGAGTTTAGCATTGTAAAAATGATGATAGGTAGAAGGAAATTCCTCATATGAAAAGAAATTTACAATTTTTCCTTTGAAACTCGGTTCAATACTGGTTTTCAGAATGGAATTCACAATGTCAGGAGTTAACATGATGTCTATAGAATTGACCCTAGAGATGAGTTCAGTGTGTGATTTACCCTTTCTAAGATTAGCAAAGAATTGATACAGCATGTCAGGGTAAAAGACATTAGGAATGGTCAGAATATGAGTCCATTTCTGGAATTCAAATAGTTTGATAACAGGTTCAAGATCAAGCTTACGAAATTCATAGGGAAGGATGAGCCTTTGGGTAATGAACCCTTTTTGAGAGACTAACTCAAATCTGTCTCTGGCTTCATCATCAATGAATTTTGGAAGAGGAGTGGGTTCTTCTACTGGCTGAGACACAGGATCCTTTCCAGAACGTTTCCTGTTTGAGGTTTGTGTGGCAGATGCCTCTATATTTTGAGCCTCAGTTCTTGTCCTTGGAGACTTCCTGGTAGAGGGTTCAGGAGTTTTCTGACTCCCAGTAGTGTTTCCTTCATTCTGCTGATCATTAGAGGGATCAGCAGACTGCTTTTTCTTGGATTGAGGAGTGCTCTTCCTCTTTGCAGACCTCTTTCTTTTAGCAGAGGACCTTGTGACAGCTTTATCACCTTGGACAGTCTGTTCTGCTTCCTCATTTCCACCAACAATGTTTTCTTCAGAGTTCTGTCCTTCCAACTGCTCATCAGATGATTCAGCAGTTGGAATATTCAGTTTTCTTTGGGCGGTTTCCTTCACCTTACAACCACGGGTTGCAATCTTCTTTTTGGGTGCCACAGGAGGTGGTTCCAAAATTTCAATGTCTTCATCCCTAAGCCTAAAGGATCGTCCGGCACTAGTAGATCCTCCTCTGATTCTAACCATGATGCAATGTGGATATGATTTTGGATAAGGAATGTGGTGTACAAAGAAAGAGTGCAGTAAGAGCCAACTAATGTGTACTGAGAAGCCGCAAGGAGGGAGTTATGGGAAGTTAGGGTTTCGTATGTAAATTAGGAGTTTTGTGGTAGTTGGGGGTTGGGAGTGATTTTTATGAGTGATTAATGCGCAATAGAAGTGTAATTGAGTTGGTTGGTTCAATTTCTCGGAACTTGGTTTGAGAAGAGAAGAATTTGAATTTCAAATATTAGAGGAAACTGAAAGGTTGCGTCCGAGACCTTTTTTTTAAAAAAATGAACTGAGAAGAATGGGTAACTGCCTTATAAGACTCAATTTTTGAGTGTCGGACGTCCGAACGAAGTGAAGCGTCCGACACAACCGTCCGAACCAGGGTTTTTTCTGGATTTGGACGAAGAACACTGTCGGACGTCCGTTCCAATTTATCGAACGTCCGATAAAGATTGACTAGAAATAAGACTTAGAATATATTTTCTGACACGCCCAATTTTGTTCTCAAGGACACAAATTGATCTAGTGGAACAGCTTTTGTGAGGATATCAGTTATTTGTTCTTTAGAACAAACAAACTCAACACGGATTACCCCCTTGGAGACAAGATCACGAATGAAATGATACTTTATATCAATGTGCTTAGTTCTAGAGTGTTGAATGGGATTTTTTGTTAGATTAATTGCACTAGTGTTGTCACAGTACATGGGTACACATTCATATATTAAACCATAGTCATTCAATATGTTTTTCATTCATAACAATTGAGCACAGCAAGCACCAGCAGCAACATATTCAGCTTCAGTAGTGGACAATGAGATAGCATTTTGTTTTTTACTAAACCAAGAGACCAAGCAATTTCCAAGAAAGTTGCATATACCAGTAGTACTTTTTCTATCTATTTTACAACCACCAAAGTCAGCATCAGAGAATCCACACAAAGGAAATTCATGATATTTTGGATACCACAAACCAAAATTTAAGGTTTCTTTAATATATCTTAAGATTCTTTTTACCGCATTCAAGTGTGATTCCTTTGGACAGGATTGAAATCGAGCACATAAGCACACAGCAAACATGATGTCAGGCTACTAGCAGTTAAATAAAGTAAACTCCCAATCATACCTCTGTACTTCTTTTCCTCAACTTCTTCATCTTTGTCAAGTTTGATAGATGTGCACATAGGTGTTCCAACAGGTTTTGAATCCTCCATTCTGAATCTTTTCAGCAACTCCTTGGTGTATTTTGTTTGATTTATAAATGTTCCATCTTGGGTTTGAATCACTTGGAGTCCAAGGAAGAAATTCAGTTCTCCCATCAAGCTCATTTCAAATTCTTTTTGCATGATGATGGAAAAGTCCTTGCACAATTTTTCATTAGTAGCACCAAATATGATATCATCCACATATATTTGCACAATCAAAAGATCTCGTGAGCTTTGTTTTGTAAAAAGTGTAGTGTCTACAATGCCTCTTTTAAAATCATTTTCAATCAAAAATCCACTCAGACGTTCATACCATGCTCTAGGAGCTTGCTTTAATCCATATAAAGCTTTTGAGAGTTTAAACACGTGATCTGGATAAAATTGATTTTCAAAACCAGGAGGTTGGTCAACATAGACTTCTTGATCTATAAATCCGTTTAAGAAAGCACTCTTAACATCCATTTGAAATAATTTAAAATTCTTGAAACATGTAAATGCTAAAAGCATTCTTATGGATTCCAGCTTGGCCACAGGTGCAAAAGACTCATCAAAGTCTATTCCCTCTTCTTGAGTGTATCCCTTAGCCACCAGTCTAGCCTTATTTCTAACAATTTCCCCTTTATCATTCATTTTGTTTCTAAAAACCCATTTTGTGCCAATGATAGGATGGCCTAGTGGTTTGGCAACCAAAGGCCAAACTTTGTTTTTCTCAAATTGGATTAACTCTTCTTCCGTAGCTAAAATCCAGTGCTCATCATTCAATGCATCAACAACATTTTTAGGTTCAATATGTGATACAAAAGCAAGATTATCTACTAGGTGTCTAGAGGAACGAGTCCTGACCTTTTCAGAAGGATCACCAATTATAAGCTCCCTGGGATGATTATGAGCAAATTTTCAGGCTTTTGAAAGATCATTAGGAGTAGTGGTATCTCTATTGTTCACTTCTTCAGCTGGACTGACCTGAGCATCAGTATCCTTTGAATCAGTTTCTGGTGAGACCGAGTCATGATCATTGATTGCTAGCTTCTTCAATTCTTCTTGAACACCTGTATCATCATCTTCACCACAACTCATAGAGATATCACCATTAGATTCATCAAAAGTAATGTGTATAGCCTCCTCTATAATCAATGTTCTACGATTATAAACTCTGAAATCTCTTTTGTTTTCACAATAACCCAAGAAAATTCCCTCATCAGATTTCTTGTCAAACTTTCCAAGATGTTCCTTGATATTCAAAATGAAACATTTACAACCAAATATTTTGAAGTAACCAACAACAGGCTTTTTGTCATACATGAGCTCATAGGAGGTTTTGTTCAAAATCGGTCTTAGAAGAACTCTATTCATGGTATAACAGGCTGTGTTTATGGCTTCAACCCAAAAATATTTTGGTAAGTTGCATTCACTAAGCATGGTTCTAGCAGCCTCTTGGAGAGTTCTATTTTTTCTTTCTAAAACTCCATTTTATTGAGGGACTCTAGCAATAGAGAATTCATGAGTAATACCATTATGATCACAAAATTCTGAAAAATCACAGAACTTGAATTCTGTCCCATTATCACTTCTAATCCTGACAATTTTCAAGCCAAGCAGATTTTGTACTTTAGCAAATAATGAGGTAAAATTCTTAAAGGCATCATCTTTATGAGTAAGGAATATCGCCCAAGTATATCTAGAATAATCGTCAACAATCATAAAACAATATCTCTTACCACCAAGACTTGCAGTCTGTGTAGGACCAAACAGATCAAGGTGCAGAAGTTCAAGTGGTTTTGAAGTAGAAACACATTTCTTGGGTTTAAAACAAACCTTGATTTATTTTCCAAATTGGCAAGCATCACAAATTCTGTCTTTTTCAAATCTAATTTTTGGAAGACCTCTAACAAGTTCCTTTTTAGAAATTTCTTTCAGCAAATCCATATTAAAATGACACAGCCTTCTATGCCACAATCATGGGTTCTCATTTGCTACTTTGAGACATTTGAGATATGAGGAATCAAATTTTTCAAGAAAAACTACATAGACATCATTAACTCTTTTTTCTTTGAAAATAATGTTGAACTTTGAGTCAAATATGAGACATTCAAGCTTTTTGAACAATACAAACAGATTTCTATCACACAATTGGCTAACACTTAACAGATTGTAGCTCAGATTGTCAACAAGAAGAACATTGTGGATAAAAGTTTGATCATTCTTACCAACATCGCCAATACCAACAGTTTTGGCTTTGTTATCATCTCCAAACATTACCTTTCCACTTGCTTTTTGCTTGAGTTTAATGAATTGTGATGCATCACCAGTCATATGTCTTGAACATCCACTATCAATGAACTATTTTGATTCTTTAGAAATGTTATCCTGGTTCACCTACACACAAACCTACAAGATAATACTTGGTACCCTTTACATGTTGGGTCCTTGAGAGTTAGTCTTATGTTTAACTACCCACATGCATCTCATACCATTTCTCATGTTTTTCTTAACATGACAGTTGCTATTCATGTGACCAGATTGACAACAAAAGTTGCATACTGACATTGGATCAATCAAATGAACAGGTTTAATGAATCTGACATGCCTTCTTCTGTGAACAGCAAACTCATTTGTATTTTGGTTCAGTCTTATTTGATGAGTATTAATATAGGGTATAGTGTCATTCTTTTGAAGATGGTTCTGTTTCAAATGATGTAGCAATTGACATAAATCATCAATTCTTTTTCTTAAGTTGCATTGCTCACTTCTGAGTATGTCACAGTAATTTTTCTTTTTGTAAAGTTCAGCAAGCACATCAGTTTCAGTCCTTTTCAGGTTATCATTTTCATGTTTAAAACGTTTGTTTTGTCGAAAAAGATTTGCATTATCTTGTATTAGAAAGCTAGTTTTTTGCTTCAATTCCTTGTTTTTAACATAGGATTCTTTCAAGCTGTTATGCATTTTTTCTAGAAAAGAATTAACATCATCATCAGATTCACTATCACTATCGATTTGAGAGTTGCAGTGTGTTACCTCTTCATCTCCAATGGCCATGAAGGCCACTTGAGCAGATTCCTCTTCTTCTTCAACTTCGCTTTCTGAGTTGCAATCATTCCAGGTAATCTGGAAATTGTTGAACTTTGGTTTTCGTTCAACCTTGTTTTCCTTCTTTTTCTTCATTAGACACTCATTTGCATAGTGTCCTGGTTGGCCACATTCAAAACATTTATCAGTTAACTTCTTGTTGAACTCCAGTTTTCCTCTGTTTCTGAAGTCATTGGACTGATTTGGGAAGGAGTTGCTGGATCCGCCTTTTCCAAATCTTCTTTTGTTGAGAAATCTTTTAAAGCCTCTTGTGATGAGTGCAATATCACTGTCATCACCTTCCAAATCATTTTCATCCTGTGAGGCTGGTTCATCTTCATCCTGTGAAGCTTTCAGAGTAATACTCTTTCTTCCTTTTGCGTCTTCTTCATCCTGCAACTTAGATTTAAGTTTCAGTTCATAAGAAGTTAGAGAGTTAATCAGAGATTCAATGGATAAAGAATTTAGATCTTTGGCTTCCTCTATGGCAGTCACTTTGCTTTCCCAATCCTTTGATAGAGCATTCAAATTTTTTCTGTTCTTTTCACCTAGAGAGTACTCCTTCTCAAGCACCTCTAAATCCTTGATCAGATCATTGAATCTACAGTACATTTTATCGATGTTTTCATGAGACTCCATCTTAAAAGATTCATATTTAGTGACCAGAATGGACTTTTTCTGTTTTCTCACGTTGTCACTATCCTCAT